CATCTCATCTCGGACAAAGAGCGTCGGCGCAAACTCCCCGTACCCTTGAAAAAGGCGTTGAAGTGCGCTCGTATCGATGGGGCGACCACTTGGTGTGGCGAGGAGATCGTGCGCGTCCTTGTCGGTTAAGGGGACTCCGAGCTCCGTGGTCCAGGGCCATGTCGACCACGGCGGGTGGCCTACAGTGTCGACTCGGCATGAAAACCAAGAACACATCGATGAGGCACACTATTACCTTGCATGGCCGAGTTCGGTTTGGCAAACCAAGTGTCCGCTGCACCCAGCGTGCGTGCAACATCGAGTACGTGTCGCAACGACAGCTCGAGCACCGTTTGCGTCGGCGCGACAAATGCCACGAGCTCATCACCGGGCGGCGGTGCGACGAGTGCGATCGGTAGAGCCAGGTCCGAAAGGTCGAGCGGCGCGTTGCCGGCTTGGAAGAAGCGGTGCAAGACCACTTCCGTGACTTCACGAACCATGCGTAGCGGGGCCGTCTCTAACGGTTGGTTGTGGAACGGTCGGAGCGCGTAAGCAGCGATCGTGACCTCGTGCAGCGTCGCCTCGGTGACCGAGATGTACACTGGTGCGTCGCGGCCGGTTGTCACGCTGAGCGAGCCGCCGGCCGCGTCGGACCACGTGCACTTGGTGACAACACCATACGCCCACCGCCGGTCGTCGTGGGGAAGTGCAAGACAGACGTACGACCAAATGTACGTTTGAACGCCCGAGTCGGCTTCGTTCTTTGTGACGCGCTCCAAGCCGAGAGTCTCGAGTTCCGCGGACGAGAAGAGCTTGAAGTTGAGCGTATGTGGCTTGCGTAGCCAAGTCTTGATCGTGCGCCCAGACAACACGGGCGTGACGCGCGTCGTGTCTCCCTTGCACTCGGCAGTGACATAGATGGGATGGGGCGCGTCGAAAATGTGCGTCGTCCACAACTCGTAGCGCACCTCGGTCGCCATGCGCAAGATCGCAAATACGCGTTTTGCACGGCAGTCTTTTTAATCCATATTTATATTTTCCTGAAGATAACAATACTAAATCACTGTTTGGTTTGCTCATCGTCGAATTATTAATCTGAAATCCTGTGACAAATGAAATCTCGTCATTTTGTTTTCATTACACTTTGCATTTTGTATGGGATACGTAGTCCAAGTCTATTGTGGCGTCTTCAACTCACAACCAACTCGATGACGTCATCATGCCTTGATGGCTGCGGCAATTGTCCGGCTGCCACGTCACCAAGATCTCGCTGCTGGGACGCGGGCAGCGACGCGGGAGGGATACGGAACACTTTATACCGTTAGTCTCGATACATCAACCGCAACACGCCAGAAATCCCGTTGACCAAGTACCAGATTCGATTTGGCACCATGGCGTACAAGAGCCTCACGACAGTCGCACCCTTTTACGCGCTAAAGCCCCAATTCTGCATTTGGGACAAAGTCTACGTCAAGTGTTCGCCACTGGATCTCCCGCCCAACTCTATCTCCATGCGATCGTGGCTCGTGACGCCCGTGCTCTCGGGCCGCAATCGCGAGCCGGCACGCAAAACATTTCTTGCGACTATAAGCTTCCAGAAATCGGAAAATGATATGACCAAGGAGTACCGTCCGTTTGCCACGAGCCAGGAGCAGGCCGAGTCGGGCGTCGGGACCTACCTCGGGACGTACATTTGCTTTGCCCACGAGGGCAAGTGGGCCTACGGTCTCGTAGTCGACTGCGTCTGGTCGACTTTGAGTGGCTACAACCTTTTGGCCAAGACGTGTCGCGGCAATTGCTATGTCCCAGTCAGTGATGCTACCTTGTGCGCGCTGACAGCCGCGGGCTACGCGCTGCGTCCGTTTGACGACCTTCTCGTCTCGTCGCATTCCGTGGCCGATGTCAAGACAGCGACGGAGGCGGTCGCACTCCACTTTCTAACCCGAGACCGTCATGCGCCGCTCGACTTTTCGCAGCTGGAGTTGCCTTGCGCCCCAACGACTCCGCCCTCGGGTAGCACGCTTCTTCCTTGCGTGCTTCGTTTCGGGCTCGGCGAGATGGCTGTGGACCGCGTACTGGACCAAGTGCACGCTTACTACACCCAATACAAGAAGCACATCAATGTACTTGCAGGGGGCAATTACAACTCGGACAGTAAGAGGAGTTGCGTTCCCGCATATCTCACGTTGCACTTAGACATGCCAACCAACCTGCCATCGATGGCCTCTGTCGTGCCATACTACGAAGGCACCGTTTTGGCCAACGTCGACGCTCCCGACCTTTGCGCGATCCAAGCTGGCGCCACCGCCGACACGAGTGCGCTCCATCGCCTCTTTGATGGGTTTGGCGACTGTCCCTTGCTCGTCTACGTGCGCAAGGAGATGCGAATGGTGTGGGATCTCTTGCTGGCCAACGTTTTGTCCACAAAGGCGTCGACGAGCCTCGAGGCCGCCGCCCTGCGCGCTGTTCAAAGCCATGTCATCACGCTCCACAGCCCGTGGCGCCTGCCAAACGCCGCGATCGTGCGTCGTGCAGTGCTAGTAGGCTCGCCAGGTGTCGGCAAGTCGGTGCTCCTCGTCCTCTTTTGCGCTTACCTTGCGGTCCACCACGACTACTACGTCTTTCTCTCGCGCGCAATTCCCGGTGAACCCTCCTCTCCCGACGCCATCGTTTGCTTCCGCGGCCGCCACGTCACCAAGCAAACCGACCACTTGCGCCAAGAAATACTTGCGGTCTTTGACGCGTTCAAGCGCGAGGCCGTCGCTCGAGGCAAGCAGCTTTTCGTTGTCGGCGACGGGTACAGCCAAGTCGACATTGACACGGTGGCGCCATTGGCGAGCATCTTTGGGCCTAGCGACCTGCTCTCGGCCGCTTCGTACAAGACGCACGACACGCGATTGGTCGTGACAGTGCCGGCGTGGACCAAGGAGACCCTCGAAAAGGTGGCCTCCGAAAACGACCTCTGTCAACGGACGCTGGACGAGCGCCACGCAGTGTCTGGTGGCGATGTGCGCACGTTTATCGCGGCACCCAATGTCGCGCCACCAAGCGCAACGCTCGAGGCGATCGAAGGCCTCGTACGTGGCAGCGCGCTAGCCATGTCTGTGGATGCGCTGCAGCACGTGTACATTGCCGACACGGCTATCTACAAGCACTATGTGGACGCGATCTACCGCCGGACGATCGCCGACACGACGTTTGTCCAGCAGTGTTTGGTCGCCGAGGCGTCGATGCCGACATTTGCGTCGGTGGTGCAGTGGGCCGAACGATCGGAGCACGTCGAGCTCTGCACATCGCTTCAATCTGCGTTTGTGCATGCGCTGGCGCGCAATCGCAAGCTCCAGCTTTGCATCGAACACAAGACGTCGGTGAAGCGCTTTGCTGTGGACGCCGAGTGGTTGATCGTGGCGGCACCGGTCTCGGAGCCGGACGGTCTGGCATATCTCAGTGGTGACTTGAGCGACAAGACGTACTGGTACCCCGGGCACGCGGTGTGCCCCGGCGTCGATGCAATCCTTGTCCACAGTGGGTGGGTGTACTACCTCCCGACGAGAACAACGAGTCGTCCGATTCCGGCCTTCGAGTCGTTTGCACTGGCGAGCGTCCAAGCAGCCATCACGTCCAACACGACGCTGGCCACGTACGAGCACGCTGATGTGCTGCTCTTGCAGTCGCCAGCCAAGTGGTCGGGTCAGCTTGAAGGCAAGGTCGTTGCGACCCTGGGGGCTAAAACATCGGGACGACGCGTCGCGAATCGGGGACATGCGTGTACCCTTCACTAAACCTAACAAGATTGCAATTTGAGCTGTCAACCTTTTTTAAGATAGAGGGGGGTCGCATAATCGAATGAGAAGAATTGCTTGTCAGCGCACGTTAGAACGAGGTGACATCTATGAGCGAGCATCTTGCCTTTCGACTGCTCCAGAGGAAAGAAGACAGAGTATATCCCTGACTGTCGCCTCGATAAGCGAGATGCCTGCGCAGAGGAAGACCCGCATCTGGTCCAGAACAGAGTCAGCAAGAACGCTGTTTGCACCGAAAGTTTGTACTACGTCAAGTGTGTATTACCGCAGCTATGCTAATGCAGCAGTCACCACCATTTCTTGCCGCGAAGCCAGAGCGTCGCCCATCTTCAAAGAGGCACACCATCCAAGTTGCTGATTCTTCGAATGCCTCGCCCTTGACTCTTGGTCTCGTTTCGTAGTCGCAAGCGATCATCAGTATTATTTGCAAGGTCGTCGCACATCTCGAGGTTGCAGTAGCCAATGCAGACAACTCTGACGAGAAGTGTTTGTGGGTCGAATAAACAACACACATATTCTTGTTTTGGTTTGATGGCCCAATTACCCCGATAGCGTTAAAATTAGACAAGTGTCGTTGACGATGCGGAATGCCAAGGCCTCGGTGCGCCCGTCGTCATCCCGTCTCGCTCAGCGTCGTTGTCTGCGCGTAGATCCAGGTGTGCGCACAGTCGCTCCAAGCACGCTTTGCGCTGCGAAAGATGCTCATGCGCGGCCAAGATCTCTCGCACGTACGCCCAATCGCCCGCCGATGCACCGAGGACGATGTTGAAATAGCAACAAATGGAGTTTGTCGTCAAGTACCTCCAGCAAGAGACATCAATCCACCGGTTGGGATGGTGGCAGCTCTTGACGCACACAGAAAAGTTCCAGCCTCGGCTTGTTTCGTCGCTCGAATTCTTATTGGCGTAGGCTCGCGCTGGCGCAAGAAGTGACCTTGAAGACGATCGAGAAAGGCAAGCGCGTCACGATCCTCACCCGCGCCAACAACGAAGCTAACGTCGTCTTACGCGGCCGCGCCGAGTGCTTCGTACTGCAGACAGCGTGTCATGACGATGTATGCTAGCGCCTTGTTTGATGTAGCTGCTCGAGTCGCAGCAGTTCAAGCCGGTCATCAACAACGATGGATTTGTCTTTGGCAATCTCAAGATCACAAACACCACGTACTCAGACGCTAACCCCGCGGGGTGGGCCGCCGAGGCACCGGAAATGCATCTCTGCCCATACCAAAAGGTGTTCGCCTGATCACGTATTGCATGTATGAGCTACGCATAGGTGGTGCTGGTGGGGCCCGCCGACTACTTGATCGTCACGGCCAACTTCACCATCAACGGCGCTGTGCAAAAAGTGGCCAACGTGACCAAGTGAATTCCATGCACAAAAAGACACTCGTCCGACGTTTTTGTTGCAACTAGAAACCACGGCCTCGCTCGCTACGGCTTGGACGCCCTATCGCCCTTTGCCCGGCTCCACACCTACGACGCGGGCTGCCACATTGTCCGCCAAGGCGACGCCAAGTCGTACCTCTACTTTATCACGTCGGGGGCGTGCAAAGCTTCGTACAAGGACCCGTCGGTGGTTGACGGACCGGACGACCGGTCGTTTGCGCTCGCCAATGCCAACGGCGTCGACGTCGCGCTACTGGGTCCGCAGGTACCCTACTTGTCTCGCGTGACTATGCACTCTTTTTGCGTGCTGTAGTCGTACATTGGGGACATTGCCTGTCTCTTTGACTTGCCCGAACCCGTCACCGTGACTTGTCTCTCGGACGTCGACGTGGTCTACTTCAACTTGCAAGAGCTCTACGACGTGCTGAAAACCTCGGACGACTTGAAGCGACGTGCGGTCGTGCCGCCCTAACGTTTCGTTGATGTCGATTTCACATGCTTAGGGCTTGTCGTCGTTGCTCACCAGACGCTCGCCTTTGTTCTCGAACGCATGGGCTTCCTTCTCGGCGACAAATGGACGACAGAGTCGCCAAGCTTTAATGAGCTCCAAACGTTCTTGAGCCATCACACCTGTACCGGATCTGGACACTTGCACTAGGGTTGATGATAATGGTGATGCTAGTGCCTTACTTGCCGCCGTACGAAGACGAGGCAAAAAGACCATTAAGTGCAGCCAAGAGCAGCGGCAACAACAACCGGAGCGAGACGCCGAGCGCACTGGACACGACGCCGCGTTCGGCGATGCTGGCGCAATTCCAGCACGTGTACGCGAATGCCAAGCTCGTCGTCGTTGGCACTGTTTTGCTGCGTAGCAACATGGCAGCGGTCGAGCCCATTGAGCCGACGCGCGATATGCTCGTGGCCATGCACAGCATGCACTCGACGTTCCGGACCAAGTCGTTGGCGTCGCACGGGTACGCCTTGGTGCACCCATCAGCGCCCGCCATCCACAGCAGCGAACTCCCTCTCAAGACTGCCCAGCACAAAGCGCATTTTTTGTTTCCAACCATGACCAAGCAGCGCCAGTACCACGGGCGGTACGTTCTCTCTGTCCACAACAATATACGATCTGTGATGCGCGTGTAGGACGCTGCCGCTAATTGAAAAGTGCCAAAGCCTCGAGACCCTGTACTTGCATACACCAGCCAAGTTATGAAATGAACCCTCGGTTGTCTCCAGAACCAGACTTGAAGTCTTGCAGCCACATCTGAAGGTTGATTCAGATCCAGAACGATAGATGTACCCACACGGCCCTAGCCACTGGTCAAGGTCCTTGGCCCACGGACTCAGGGAAGGACGTGCAATGTGGGACTTTGGCCGGACACTGGTGTCGATGTACAATACATGTTGGTTTAAGTTATAAAATAAAATGCACGTGAAGACTGTTGTGTCTTGGCTCAGAGATCCATGCATGAAAACGCTTGGGTCTCGTCGGCCAGCGCGTGTTGCTCTTCGGGGTGCTCGACCCAATATAGCCGCCAGAAAATGCGCGATGCCATCGCAATGGCAGCGTCCGCGAGCTCCGTCGAGTGCAGTGCCTTCCAGCGCGTCGCCTGCAGTTGGCGGACCAGTGCAGACCGGAGTACTTGGCGCGCGATTGGGTTGGCCACCAGCGCCGCGTCGATCCAGGCCACCCGGCGTGCTTGCACACGGCGCTTGAGCTCGACGAGCGCGTGTTTGCGGAAACGAGCTCGCGTCTGGTACCGACGGACGGCCACCACAAGCGCTGAGATCGAAGCCTCGTGACGCGTCGTGAGTTGACGCATCTTGGCCTCCAGCACGGCTTTGGGCCAGTTGAATGCTGCGCCGCAAAAGCAGTTGACCGAGTCGCACCCGTCGCCCTTGACGAGCGGAAGCGCGCAGCTCGGACAGGCGACAATGTCGTGAACGCGGCTGAGGGCGCCCGCGACACACTCGCTGCCATGGTGGTGACCCGCAGTTTGGCACGCAAAGCACACGTCGACAGAGCAGCAGAGCGTCTGAATGAACGGGTTGTGCTGCACGAGGCGTAGGAAGAGCGCACCCTGACGCTCTTTGTCCGCCGTGCACCGCAGCAGCTTGCGCTTGACGTCAATAGCGTCCTGACCGCTAAAGGTGGTGTCCACAAACGCGACAAGATCCGCAACCGAGGCTTCGTGCTCGCAGAAACGTTGATGGGCGTCGAGGAGCGCCGGTAGGTGCATCTCGAGCGCCGCTGGCAGCTCCAACGGATCCGACGACGGCGTCGGCAACTGGCTGTGATCCGAGTGGCACGACGGACACTTCATCGTGCATGCGCCTGCAACTTTTCGGTCATACAAGGCAAGGCTCTCCACGATGCTCGCCTTGGCTGCTTGCTTGGCGGCGATCCAGCTGGCGGCTGCGTCGCTTTCGGGATCATGAGCCTCAACACTGGATTCGGTCCGTGTCTCGTCCAGCGCAGAAGAACTCGCATCGTTGAAGAGTGCATCGAGTTGCAACTGAAAGCGGACGGTGCTCATGGGCGTAACACACACAGGACACGGCAGCTTGGTCAAGACACCAAAGATCGCGTCGCGCGCTCGGACGTCCAAGAAGCCAGCGATACATGTGGGACACAGGCGCGCCGGGCAGTCGACGCGACAGATGCGAGCGACGAGGCTTGTGCAGTCGACGTCGTCCATGCATACGTCGCAGACAGCCGTGTCGGGCACCGACACTGGCGTGGACGGGCCCGACGTTCCGTCCGTCGAAGCCGACGAAGCGCAGTCGATCTCAAGGTTCTTGACGCTCAGCGTCAGCACATTCTCATCTTCAAGGCAAGCACGTGCGTCCATCATCTCCAAATCTGGAATGCTGCCGCGCTCCGGCGCCACAAATATGGAAAGTTCCTGTGAATGATGGTTGCTAAAGGCGTGTTCCTCGTTCTGCCACGTCATGCGAGAGAGTGCTGGTCGTATATCCAAACTGGTGGCGATGGTGTCTTCGACGTTTGCTCACTCTTCAAGAGAGAGAGACGTACCTTCAGGGTGCTACCATGGGTGATGGAAGAGCCTCATGTGCGTCGTTGCACTAGTACAGTATACGTTTGGGCAAGCGAAGACGATGAAGAAATGACCAACGAGCTCACTTTTCTAATTGCGCAGCAGCTACAGCTCTATCCGAAGCAGGGAATAGGACAACAGAGTATACGCTAGCTGTATCTTCATTGTCGTCTCCTGTGGAAGGCTGGCTGGCATACTGTCGAGTCCAACTCAGAACTATGCGATTGAGAGTCGAAGCTGCGTGTCGGTAAATCAAGTGTAGCCGGAAATTCAACGACCGTAGGATGGACATGAACGACTCAGCGGCGCTATAATTAGCTGCGGCTCGCGTGGCAGTTGGCAATTAGCAATGGACTTTGAAGACTTGTTGAACGAAGTCGAGTCGGCCGTGCGCGGCACGGGCACGCCCGTGAAGCCAACGACAGCGTCGTCGTATACATCCTCCAAGCCATTGTCTACGTACTCATCCTCGTCGACCTCTTCGACGGTGAGTGCTCCCAAGCCAGCACCGACGTCGTCTTCCAAGAGCCGCATGCAATCGGACCTCGATGACCTGCTCGACCTTGTCGCCGAGCCCGAGGTCGCGACTTCCGCCAAGAAGGCGGCGCCGAGAGAGTTCCAATCAGGCAGCTCGAAAAAGTAGCGGACGCCGCTTGTTTTGGACTCAGCGTACAAAGTAGATGCACGAACGTCGCGCTCGCCGGCACAGCACTCAAGCACGGCCAGCACGTGAGCGCGGTCAACGCTGCGTACTACTGCCAGTGCTCTCCGAATCGGAAACGCAGTCTCTTTTGGTAGTGCGTGCTCCAACCTGCGCTGCAACGACTGCGACTTTACCGTCGTTCAGTTCACCAACACGTACCTACTACTACAGCATCACTTCGATCGCTGACGATCGTATCGTCGCTGCTTTAGGCGATGGCACGCATCCGCCGACTACATGTTTTTCCGAGAAAACGTGCCCAACGAAGCCAAGCTCCGAGCGAAAATGGAGCCCTCGTCCGGTACCGATAGACGCCATTGACACCAAAAGCAGCAAGCGCACGTGCGTAGGATGCATTGCGTACGCCTGCCAGTGCAAGTGGCTCAGCGTCTCGGACAAAACGACGCCCGAGCGCGAGCGTGTCAAGTGGTGCTGCGCCGGCCACTAGCAACCCAAACCTCGAAAGTCAGAAGACCCTGAATATACATAATTCCGAGACTAGAACCATATAGCAATGGACCGAGTCGCGACCTACGGGGTTTGCTTCCATCGGAAATCAACGTTGGGCCACCTCAACTCGGTCGTGTGTTCGCCCCATTCAAGTATCCTAAAAGAATCCAGTACCTCCATTATTCGCGCGGAAAAGGTCAACGATCACCCCGCCCAGCTTGCTCTGCGACCGAGCAACTTCCCACGTTCCTCATCCTAGCACGCTGCCCCTAGTATCTTCCTACTCACTTCATGGCTCGCATGACCATTGAGCGAGGTTACTTGGAACAAAGTCTCATTCATCACTCGACACCATGTACGTCACAAAAGAGAATACAGTCTACAACAACAAGGGCGTGGACCCGGACCGCGTCCAGGACCCATAGCGCATGTACGGGTGCTCGAGAAGCGTGTCGGCCGTCGGCCGCGCGGCCGCGTCGACGACGAGCATGTCCTGTACAAAGAGGCGGAGCGCGCGCGACACGTGGCGGTACGCGTGCCCGTCGAGCGTCGCTGCGATCGCGCGTCGACGGGGGCAATAGCTCATGCGCGGCGGCGTGTCCGCGATCAGAATGTGCAGCAGGACGCCGAGGCTGTAAATGTCTGCAGGCGTACCGTACGGGCGCCGGAGCTTGACCTCGGGCGCCATAAAGTCTTCGGTGCCCGACCGGTCGTGCAACGGACCAAGAAAAATGCGCTCGGCGAGGCCAAAGTCTGCGAGCTTGGCCGACTCCAGATCATCTGGGTGCAGGAGCAGGACATTGGCGGGCTTGATGTCGCGATGCACAACGCCGTTCGCATGGCAATGTTGCAGCGCTCGAAGAAGGCCGCTTGCAAGTGCGTGAATCTCACGTTCGTGCAGCCGTCGCTGACGCATTCGGTCGGCAAGCGAGCCGCCGGGGACGTACTCGAGGCAGATGCGGACCGAGGGTCCGTGCACAAAGCACTCGTACGCGCGGACAACATTGTCGTGGTGGAGGCGCTTCAAGAGCGTGTACTCCTTCATGGCCTCGCGCCTCTCTGCGAGCGAGAGGTTGTCCATGATCTTAACGGCGACGGGTCGCCGGGACGACCGGTGCGTCGCCAGCACAACCGTGCCAAAGCTGCCTTTGCCGACGACAGCGCCGAGCTCGTAGGAATCGTGTATCGTGTATGACTTCTCGCACGGGGCCGGCGGCGGCGGAACGACGTAGGCAGGTCGGTCGCTCTCGGTGTCGAGGGTGCTTTGGTCGCCCGTCGACCCGACGAGCGTCGGCTTTGTCACCTCTCTGTACGGCGCCGCGGCGGGGCGCCGCCGCCGGTGCATTGTCGGGTGCGCCGCATACGCAAGCACTGTGACGCCTGCGACGACAGCTAGCCACGGCGTCGCGGCGAGGAGCCAGCCCACTGCCTTCATCCTGTGTCCGAGCTAGTCACTTGGTCAATGACGGCGCTCTGCAGATGAGCACAGTTGCCACGAACCCACCCGGTTGACGATCGACCTGATCGGAATTTCGCCGCAGAGTCCACGCGCACTGTATCGCGCGTATGCGTGTATGATGGACGCACCCATCCGCGGCGATGACCGCTGCGCCGCCGCCTTGAGCGCAAGGACGCGCGCCGGCCGCGCGGCCAGCGTATCTTTGGCGTGCTTCGCCGGTATCTCCGGATAGCGCCGGATAACCGAGTGGCACGACCAACCGAACAAACCGAATTGCACGCGTCAAAAATGGGCAAGTCGTGCCGGGACATGGCGGAGCAGCTCCGCGACTGCATGTTCGAGATGGAGTGCATGAGCGACGGCAAGCGAACGCTCAAGACGTGCCTCAAGCTCGACGAGTACAAGCACGAGTGCAAGGTAAACCAATGGCAACGACCATGGGCTCATCATGCGCACGCTAGGAATACCGCTACGCGTACTTTGAGTGCAAGCGTGGCCAGATCGACATGCGCCAGCGCATCCGCGGGCCCAAGGGCGGCGCGTCGCAGGACTAACGTGCATTGACAGCGATAGAATAGAGACCGTGCCTTTGGTTAAATAAGCGCCCGTTCCTCGGACGTCTGCGAGCTCGACTGCTTCGTCTCGCGCGCGTCCTCCAGCAACGCTCTCTCGACGCGGTCGAGGTTCGAGAAGATCTGCTCTCGTAGCGTCGCCTCGTCATGGAACACATCCACTTGGTTGGCCGGCGCCGTCAGCCGCCGTCCGGCCGGCGCCACTGCGATGGCCTCGGTGGTCATCGGCTTGACGGCCTCGGTCGGCGCAACAGTGTCGGCTTGTTGGATCACCGTGTACCGTCGCTTGTGGTGGCGAATCGATCCGTCGAGGTCGGTGACCATGAGGTCGCCTGCAACCCTGGTCGCCGACGGCACTTCATCGACGCGCTGCATCGCCTGCCCACGGCTGGGCAGCATCGTATGGCGCGTCACCGCTTTCGGGTAGCGAGTTGACGCTGGCGTTTCTTGCGTCGCCGTTGTCATGAGGCGCACGGCCTTTGTGAGTTTCTCAATCGACTGCTCCATCTTGTTGATGCGGGACGTGACGTCGTGGAGGCATGTGGTCGCGTCATATAGCATTCGCAGCGCAGCTTTGTCCGTGCCCATGCCATGGCGGTCGCCTGTCGAGTGCTGGGGCAGATGGGTCGGACGGTGCACGGAAGGTGCGGCGACAGGGGCCGCCGCGGGCCGGTGGCTCGTGGTCTTGGCCATATCGGGCTTGACCGCGTCGTTCTTGTACTTCTCCATGATGAGCGACTCGAGCTTTTGGCGGTCGTCCTTGTGGCGCGCAATGATTTGGCGAAACCCTGTCCGGTGCAAGACGCAGAGCACACAAAACGTCTTGGCGCGCACACACGCCGTGCGCCGGCAGTCCATGAGCAGCGCGATTTCGCCAAAGTAGTCGCCGACCGTGATGAGCTTGATCACGCGCTTGTCTCGACACGGCGGGTTGGCTTCGATGAGCACTTCGCACTCGCCGCGCTGCACGAAAAACATTTCAAAGCCGGTCTCGCCAATGTTGATGATAAAGTCCTCGGGCATGTAGACACGCGTCTCGAGCTGGAGCACGATCTCCTGGACGACTTCGGGACTGCACTCTTGCATGAGGGGTACACTGCGGATCATTTTCTAGTCGCATTCCAAAATATATAAATGAAAAAGCGGGGAATCTACCGCGTTCAAGTAGAGCATGATTTCGCGCTGGAGGTTGGTCGAGAGCTCCGACACAAATGGCGCCGACCGGCCATCCAATGTGTGGTACTGCTGCCAGAGGTACGTGTAGTAGAGGTGCACGCGCTGCTGGACTTCCTGTGGCAGCCCGAGGTGCTGCATCGACTCGTATACGTCCTCCATCTTTTCGCGGTACTTGGTTGAATTTGCGTAGAGACTCGAGACGACGATCGCAACGTCACCGTAAACAGTCGCCATGGCCACCGAGCCCGCGATCGACACAAACGTGAGGAAGATCATTTCGTTGAGCGACGTCGGCAGAATGTCTTGGCCAAGGAGCGCCATCATGCAGTTGTAGTAGCATCGGGCGTACGTGTAGTGGAGGCTCGTCGGGTCAAAGTGGAGGTCGCCCCACCCGCCTGGCGCAGACGCGATCGCGTACCAGATACAGGCGCAGATGTGGTCCATGTACATCACAATCAGAATCAAGCGCACGAGACGCGTGAGGACCGACCCGGTCGAGAACTCGAGCCACCACCAGAGCGGACCGTCCGTCTTGAGCGCCTTGGCCAGTCGAAGAATCCCAAGCACGCGCGGAATGCGTGCGGCTTTGAGGAGCACCGCGTCCTGGACATCGGCCATGCGTATGTGCAGTAGCGTCTCAATCCAGTCGATGGGAATCGCCGCCAGCAGATCCAAAAGCAGCCAACCTACATGGCATGAACAGTAGAAATATCACATGTCGGGCATCTTACTTGACGCATAGTGGCACGCGATGCGGGACCGCGATCGAACGAGATACTTGTCCTTGGCCGAAATGCTGCTCGAGTACTTGAGCGTGAGCGTGCGCTGCTCGTCCCGCGGGTCGTGCTCGTAGTAGGCAATGTTGAAGGTGACGAGCACGTCAAGCGCAAACAAGACATCGACAACGTAATGGAAGGTCTGCCACGGCGTGCCGCGCAGATCCGGGCCGATTCCGATCGTGAAGGGAATGTACACGGCTTCGTACAAGAGCAGCAAGAGGATGAGCGAGTGCCACGCCTTGAGTAGCGCAGCGCCTGGATGGATGACGTCCCACAAGGCCGCGTTTGAGAACGAAGGGCTTGTCGAGCGCCGCCGAAAGCTCGGACGCTTTGTCTGCCGCAAGTTGAATATGCCGATCATCTCTTGATGCGCTTTCATTTCTTCGGAGCGGCGAATGAGCGACTGTCGACGGCCAATCTGCAGCGTCAGGCTGCCACGACCGAGAAACACCGAGCTCGCGCGCTTCCAACGCTTGCTCTTGAGCGAGTCGCCGACTGTCGGCTGGAGCGACTTGCGGCTCGCAAGGTGCCAAAGCCGCCGCTCAGTGTTCTTGGACTTCAACTTGACTTGGGTCACGCGATCGCGGACCGTTAACGCCCGGCGAAGGGTCTGCGTTGGCATGTCGGGAAGCATGGGGCCGTCAATCGTGCGGCGCGGGGCCATGGGAAGCACGCGCTGGCTCTTGTAGAAGCCGGAGAGGCGAGCCATCGACGAGCCCGACGAAAGGCCGGCTTGCGCAAAGCCAGACAACCGGGCGCTGAACGACGGTCGATGCGGCATGGACGCGTACCGTGATTGGTCGTCACGGTCGCTCCCGGTCAGCGGCTTTCGGCTCGAAAGCATTCGCGGCAAAATCCGAGTGTCCGTTACCGTAGATAACGCTTTTGGCGCGTGCACGATCGAGGCTCCTGACTACAGACGAAAGAGACCCAAATACCTTCGTAGCACCTTGGCTTTTTGCTCGGGAGCCATAACCACTAACAGCCACAGTGTGCAACACAATGCAAATCGCGATCTGGCATACCAACGCTGTAAACTCGTCAAACACAACTTCGCAAGGGCCACTACAGTCACTCAAGTGTCCTTCTCAAGTACTAGTACATCTGTTGGAGTCAAAAGTAAACACAGTGAAGCAATTGTATCTGAGTAAATAGCTAGTATCGTTGAGCCTCGTCAAGCCGATGCACACACTCGGAATGCCAGAACGCAATCATTCCTGTGGATGCAGGCGAAATGGCGTGCCACGTAATCGAGACCCGATTGGTCCATTACCTCGCTGTTTTACACCAATGGCCGTGGGTGTTGCATTTCAGAGTTTGACGCAGGATGCAGTTCCGCGATCTGGCCGCCGTCTTCCGGCGCATCGAGGCAAGAGCCATTGGCCTCTGCACGTGCCAGCTCACGCACCGCGTAGGCCAAGAACTCGCGCGACGCCAGCATTACCGAGCTAGCGGCGACCTTCCGTGCGCTGCGCGCTTCGCACCCGGCGCAGCTGCCCCGAGCTTTGTACCTCGCGACGTCACAGGTGTGAGGCTCTTCCGCATTAGCGTGCCCATAGAAGTTGCTTCCTCCACGTGTAGCTGGCACCGACACATGCCGGCGTGGAGCTCCGGTTCCGCGACAAATCGTTCGCGCCAGTCCTCACCGCGGCGTTTGCCTGTGCGCCATGTCGACGGACGCGTCACGCTTACTACTCTCCATCGTAGCGCCGACTAAGGCGCTAAGTCAAGACGACGTTTTCACCTTGTACAAGCAGACAGGTTTGGTAGAACGCAGTCCAGCAGATCCTCATCGCCCTTGGTAGGCGACTATGGCACGGCCGTCGACGAGCTCTTGGTCAGCGCGCGCTTCGACTTGCACGAAGATAGCGCGAGTGCGCCCATGACCATCGACTCTGTCTTCGAGTACATCTTGACTCTCTCGATGGATGTGTCACTCAAGATCTAGGCAATTGACGCTCTTGTCCACTCAAGTCGGGAAAGGCTCAACCGCGCGCAAGCAGGTAGCATCGCCGACGCGCAAAACACGCCCACTGACTTGTGCGTAGGAGATCGCGACGGCGCTTTTGCGGCAATGTGGGTACGGCCATGTGACGTGGCATGTATTCGACCACCCGAATCTGTGCTCAGGACGCAAGACGAAGCGACGTTTCTCGTTCGCCTCTTGGCTGTGCGCACCGCCTGCAAGAGAAGCGAGGTTTCCTCATGCATGGACTTAGCATCAAAACCTGCGCATCGGCGTTGGCGTCAAGACGGCACTCGCGGCGCTGGCCGACGCTTACGTCGCAACTGGCGACGACACGGACGACCGAAAAGCTGCAACCAAAGAGTGGCTGGCGGCGGTCGTCACGGCCTACTCGCAGCGCCCTAGCTTTGACGACCTCGTTGCCATCATCGACGACTGTTCGGCGAGCGATTCGCTACATGACATGTGCGTTTGCGTCCGCACGCATGCTTCGCCTGTCCCGGGCACACCGCTCCAGACGATGCTCGGGTACCCGGCCGCCTCGCTCGCCGAGGTTTTACTGCCATCTTCGCTTCCTCAAGTCTCACAAAGGGGTAGATTGTCGAGCGCATGGCCAAACTCCCAAATGCGATGGCGGCGTGCGAGTTCAAGTACGACGGCGCGCGGCTGCAGGTGCACATCGCAGCGAACGGCGACATGGCCATCTTTAGCCGCAACATGGAGCGCATTCCGAGCGAGCACAAGTACCTGCGCACGCTGCGCCGCTCGTTGCGACTGGCGTCCGGCGTCTCGTCGCTGATTCTCGAAGGCGAGATGGTCGCGATCGACAGCAGCACTGGCAAGCTCCAGCCGTTCCAGACGCTGCAGACAAAGGACGCCGAAGACATGTGCTTCTTTGCCTTTGATTGCCTCTACCACAACGGCACGTCGCTCGTGCAGGTACGTGGCGAGATACTTGCGAGCGGAAACGACGTAATCTAGGCGCCTCTGGAAGACCGCCGGTCGCTTCTCCACCAGTCGCTTGTGCCGCAGCCTGGCAGCGTCGAGTTTGTCAAGGCGTACGATGTGAATATGGCGACGCCGTCGGCCATCGCGGACGTTCGGCGCGTGCTGCAAGACGCCATTGACGCCGACTGCGAAGGGCTCATGGTCAAGTCGCTCGGCGAAAGCTACAAGGCGGGCGCCCGCACGCACACGTGGCTCAAAGTCAAGGGCGATTACCTCTCGGGTGACGACGCGGGCGGTGGCAGCGCCGGCATCTTCTTGCCCGACTCGCTCGACCTCGTGCCGATTGCGGCGTACCACGGAAAAGGCCGGCGCGCCAACGTCTACGGCTCGTTCCTCCTCGCATGCTTCAACCCTTCCCTCGGGACTTTCGAGGTGCATTAACCCATCATCATTTACTCACAGCCTGTTGTACTATGATAGACGGTCGGCAAGGTGGGCTCGGGCTTCACCGATGCGCAACTCGCCGAGATCTCGGACCGCCTGCGACCGACCACCCTCGTCAACAAGCGTACGTGGTTGTGAACAACTTGAACAAGGTGGCGACGGTCTGTGTAGCGACCGCGTATCGCGCGAGTGAGCTGAAGTCGGTGCAGCCCGACGTATGGATCCCGCCCAATGACGTCTGGGAGATCCGCGCCGCGCAGCTCACGCAGTCCAGCCGATACCTCGCCGGAGCGCAGGAGGGCGCCAAGGGCCTCGGTGTCCGCTTCCCCCGGTTTTTACGCCCGCGCCCCGACAAGCGCCCCGAAAACGCCACCACGAGTGACCAGCTCGTCGAACTCTACGAAGCCTCCGTGTCATCAAGTCGCTCCGCAACCCCCGACGACGCTGAGTCTTTGACGTAACATTCGGCAAACAAAGCACCGCGTTTACCCAAGTCAAAAGGGCTTGCGGTCCCATGATTCGTAGTTGCACGTTGGTGCTACGTTGTCGCATCCACGAACGGTCTTGGTGTACGTACTCGCCCCATGCTCGGCTCGTTCAAGTGTCTTTACATATGAAATTCACAAGACTAGTATCTAGTCACAACTCTCTAACATTCTTCCATTTACGGGCTTGGACTATCGACTAATGAGGTGCGCTTTCGTAACTACTTCGGAGGCGCCTGCAGACGTCGGCGGCCGTCGGGCGGTCGCGCGGTGCATAACTTAGACACTCTGCAATCAGCTGCGTCCACGCCGGCGGCACATCGTCGCCCAGTGTGTGTGGCGGCACGCGCGGCGTTCCTGGTGCCATGTACATGTCGTAGACGTAGCCGTCGGCCGCGACGGGCCCGACAGCGTGGAGCAGCGGAGCATACGGTCGTTGCCGAGTGAGCACTTCGCCCAAGATGACGCCCAGCGCATAGATGGCCGCGGCTTCGTTGTCCATATCGTCTCGTCGCGACTCGGTCGTCAGCCGTTGGGACGCGATTTCAGGCGCCAAAAACGCGAGGCGGCCGGTGCCAAATGACAGCTGCACGGACGTCGCGTCGAGGTCGTCAAGACACGTGACGATGTTGAGCTTGCACGTGAGGGCTTCGTTGACAAGGATCCGGTCGGTGCTCCAGACGTCAAAAGCCGCGCCGAGGACAAAGCCCGTGGCTTGGAGGTACGCGACGCCGTCGGCGATCTCGAGGCACATGCGCTGCGCTTGGTGCGGCGTCAGCGGCGACCGCTCGACGTGCAAGAACGACGAGAGCGTCCCGTGCTCCATGTGTTCAAAGACCGCGCAGAGCGAGATGCCCGAGAGCTTGGACGCGCCGAGAAGCTCAACGACGTGTTCGTGCTTGAGGAGCGAGAGCGCCGCGACACGCTGCACAAAGCGCTTGGCCACGTCCGGGCGGTCGCGGTGGTCGAGGCGCCGAATCATGACGCGCTCGCCGTCAAAGCTGCCCGAGAGACCGCCGGGGATCGGGCACGCCGACCGCGACAGCCGCAGCTCGTCCTGTGACAAGAGGCGATAGCATCGGTCCGACTCGGTGTGGAACGGCGTCGAGTCTTCGCCAATCTCGGTGAGCGGCGAAATGAGGTCGCCGGGCTTGAGCGTATCGGTCGCGACCATCATGGGCGTGTTGTGCGACAGGAAAAGGTGGTTGTCGTCCACGTTCGTCATGTACGCGGGGTGGTCGAGGTCTTCTAGCACCGAGTCCGCATCGTCCTTGGCGTTACGCTGACGGATGATGATCATGGCAATGATGACCGCGAGGCCGGCGCCGCCGACACCGGCAAGCAGCGCCATCTGCCAGCTCGAGACGGACGACGACGACGACGATGTCGCCGGTACAACGTCGCGCGCCGCCGACGACGTGAGCCCGGGCGTTCCGGATGCGACGGCCGCGTCCGGGCCCTTGCCGTCTAATGTGATGAGCATCGCATTGTACTTGGCGAGCTGCGCGGTGGTGAGCGCAAAGGGCTCGATGGGGTTCCCCGTCAAGTCACTACGACACAAAAAGTCGTTGATTCGAGTCGATGATTGCCAGGACTGTGTACATGGTGACAGTCGAGGTGGGTAGGTCGAGGAGCTGCAGTGGGAATTGCTTGAGGTTGTTGTTATGCAGGTCGCTACCCAAACGTCTGAGCTAGTACAAGCGCACGTCCATGCAGCGTACATCTTTGTGATCTTGGTGAGCGCGGCGACGTTGAGCGTAGGAAGGACGCTGAGGCCACAGCCTGTGATTTGCCTGCAGTACGTAGAGTGAGTGCAGGAAGGCGTCCGAGGTGACGTACAAGTGCGTCAAATTTGCAAAGCGTGAAAAGTCCAATGTCGACGACGGCAGCGTGCACTTGGTGAGAATGCTAGCACATAGACATTAGCACCGACAGACGCGTCCGTCGTCGTCGTACAGGGTGGTGAGCGGTAGCGCGTCGGCCACCGTAGCAGGTCCCAGTGTAAGCGACTCGAGCGTCCTAGCACCAACAGCATGACGTGAGCTGGCGACACGATCGACCATCAATTACGCACAGGGAGACGAGGCCCTTGACGTTGGCGATGCTGTCCAAGCCAAAAGTCGAGAGGCCGGACGCTGACGCGCTGATTTTGCTACACAAGCATGAGCTCTCTATTTCGTTGCTCGAGCACTGGACCGTACAGGTTCTTGACATCGTTCACCGGGTCTACGTCCTTGAACGCACCAAAGCTCGTGATGCTGGCCGTGATGGACGTGGACGCGGGCGCATTCGAGGACGTGATTTCTGGTGTTAGCGCCGTCGTCACAATGACATTCATCGTTGGGCGCATGAGCGCGCATTGGGCCGGCTCGCACGCAATGCACCACGTGGCGCCCGCTTGGTTGAGCATGCCCGAGCAGGCGGCGGTCGCTCGGACGGCGGCAATGGCGGCGGCGACGAGCCAGCACGCCGCATTCGGGAAGGACGCCATCCGTGACAATGGTCAAGTCGGTCGCGTGTCGGGCAGCGCGCCACCTGCTGCAAACATCCAGCGCATCCATCTATAATGTTTCCATAGTGAAACGTCGATTCGAACCAGTTACTTACTCTGTTCGTCAAAGCCAGCTGCTGCTGGGAGAGGTCCACTGCATGACACAGCGATCGGTCGCCGAGCTGCGAGCATAGCACTATACACGCAACATCCGCAGTCGACCTTTGAAGAATAAGATCGTATAGCGCCGGCGCTCGGACGCTTCCTCATTTACAGGACGTTTCGATCCCCGTTCCTAGACATGCAGTCGACTTGACCATGTCGTGAGCATGGCACCGACTTGCATGACAAGCTGTGTTCTGGCCAACCCGCCTGTATATCAAACTACATGCACCGATGGCTCTTTGCCTGGAGCTCCTCGAGCTACACGAACCATTGTATGTGATGGCAAAGACAAAGCTGGCGCCGTCGACGGCTCATAGGTAATTACTCTTTCATGCCACCAAACTCGCCGGCGACGGTGCTTGCCGTCGGTCGCTTGGCCGGGTTGACGTCCAAGCACGCAAAGACGACCGATTGGAAGAAGCTCGGGCACGCGGCGAGCGTCGGGTCTTCTTCGTACGCGCGCGCGTGCAGCCACGTCTTCGTCGGGCGCGACCCCATGGCGATCTCGCAGCAAATGACGCCAAACGCATACATATCAGCAGCGTCGGTTCGGTGGCTTTGCTCGCTCAGCACCTGCGCCACGCCGAATATGATACACGAGCTCATCGAATGTTGTGCATACCTCGGGGGCTTCCCAGGGCATGCCGCGCCACGCAAACCCATCGTCGTCGTCGTCCGACTCGTCGACGCTCATGTCGACGTAGTCCAAAATGTTGAGTTTGCACTTGCGGTCGGCGTCGAGGAGGACGCGGCTGCTCGTGAGGCAGACAGCGCGCGGCCAGACTGCGTGCGCATGGGCAAATTCGAGGCCCGCAGCGATCTGGTAGCAGAGCCGGAGCTTCTCGGGCCACAGGAGCGGGTGCGAGAGAAGCACGTTGGCGAGGGTTCCGCCGGGCATCGCTTCGACAAGCGTCGACACTTCGCCGTTCTCGGTCGTGTTGGCCACGATCGAGAGCACTCGCTGCACGTGCGGGTGGCGCCAACCGGCGAGCTCCTTCACGGACGTGATGTACCGCGACCGCTTCTCGTCGGAAGGCGACCCGAGGCGCTGGACGACGACGGGCGACCCGTCAAGCGTGCCACTCCAAATGCGCCGGCGCGACGGTAGCGGCGCAATGCACTCGACGGCCACAGTAGGTAGCTCGTCCGGACCCAGCGACGACGGGTGGCTGAGCGGTCGGCGCTCTTCGACGCGGCTGAGGCGAATGCCGGGGCTAATCTGCGGTTTGTAGTCGGTCAGTCCAAAGTGCGACCCGGACGCTGACGCTGGACTCAGCGGCTCGTCGGACGCGAGCGGTATCGTGTGGTCGATGTGCGTCTTTCGTGCCCGCTGCAGTCGTCGCACCCCAAACACACAGAGCGCGATGAGCACGGCGGCGCCAAGGACGACTCCGATGATGAGACCTGTGTTGCTACTGCTATCGTTTTCACTGGTAGGCGCGGGTGTCGGCGCTGACGTCGTCGTTGGTAGCAGTGTCGGAGCCAGCGTTGGCGCGGGCGTCGGTTCGGGAATGCTGCACGTCGGCGTTGGCGTCGAGCAGTTGCACACGATCGCTGCGCCCTGGGTGCCCACGACTTGGTTGTTTTGGATGGCGGCGTTGAGGTTGAGGCATACGCTGGGCGTCAAGGATGGTATCGGCTCTTCGAACCGATTGTTCTCAAAGGTGTAGGTGACGGGCGACGTCGACGAGATCGAGTTGCGGAAGAGACTGATGGGAAAGGATGTCATGAGGTTGCTTTTGAACGTCAAGCTGTCCAGCATGTGGTCCAGCGGCGCCGCTGCGTCAAAGTCGATGTGTAGCTTGGTCAGTTGCCTACGCATGGCACCATTATAACATCGCGCAGGACGAGGCTTGGCGTACAGTGTTGCGATCTGCGCGCAGCTCGTCCACACCGAGACGTTGTAGAGGGTCGTGTTGGCCATCGGCGTCGCTGCGGCCGAGGCGGTTGCGTTGTAGATGCCCCACGCGTCGAGGCCAGGCGCCTGCGCAAACCACGCGCAGCTCGTTGCGTTGCCCGTGCCACAGCACGCGCGCATCGCGTCCGGGGCCTGCGAGATGCGCGCGCCCGCACAGAGCGTCTTGAAGGCAGCGACCTCGGTCGATCTCGACCTCGCCCAGCTCGCCCAGCCGGCCGCGATCGAGTTGTCGGGCGTCGTCGGCGCTGGCGCCGTCGTCCGCTGCATGCGTCGCTATACAAACTCCAAGTTGTGGCCGATCAGTTTCACGTCGGCAAATCAGATGCCACTTGATGAGCCAATCATGCGCCCGCGACAAAAGTTTGCAACGCGAGCGGCAAAAATGTGGCCGTCGGCCAGCAGGGCGTCGGCGCCGACGTCGGGGCAGACGCCGGCGCGACCGGCCCGCACAACCTATAACCCTACTCCAACGGCGTCCACCGTCATCGTTGTCGTCGTCGTCGGTGGCGCCGGCGTGGAAGGACCCGAGAAACGCATTCCAACGGTGGTAATATCGGCGCCCACCCAGACGTGCGCAACGTCTCTTACACTGTGCAGTGGTTTTCTTCCGTCCTTCTCCGTACGACAGTAGTATACAGTACTCGTGGGACCTTGTCAGTGTGTACATATCGTCGTGCGGGACGACGACAACACCATTGTACGCCAAAAAACACTCGAAATAGGATTAGGAAGCGAACCCGCTAGACGTCTGTAGCGGCTGGCGTGGCGGCTGGCGGCGGTAGTGCTGCCTGGGTGGCATCGAGGAGGCCGCGGAGCGTGGCGACGACGGAGATGGCCGTCGGACGCATGCACGGGTCCCAGTCCAAACAAGCCGCCACGAGTTGTTGGAAGGCGTCCGGTGCGCGCAGAAAGGTCTCGTGGTCTTCGTGCGGCATGGCGGTCGGGAGACGGCAGAGGATCTCGACGTCGCTGCCGACGTGCCCGAGCTTCTCGATCGCGCTCTGGTACGGGTGCTGGCGCGTCGCAATCGAGCTCAGAATGACGCCGAGGGCAAAGACGTCGGTCGCGTGGCCGCGCGGCGCGCCTTTGCTGAGCACTTCGGGCGCCTCGAACGCCAGCGTGCGACTGCCAAACGAAATGCCGACGGTGGCGTCGACGTGTTCGTAGTTGGCCATAAAGTCAAAGACGTTGAGCTTGCACACGAGCTGCGTGTTGACGAGCACGTGGTGCGACGTGAGCGTCCAGAGCCGCGGGTGGTTGTCGTCGGTCGTATGCAAATATGCCACCGCGGACGCGACTTGCCAGGCGAGGCAGAGTTGCTGCGGCCACGTCAGCGGCAGGCTCGTCGTCTGCAGCACCTGCGCCAGCGACCCCATGCTCATGAGCTCGGCCACGACGCAGAGCTCAAAGTCGTTCATGCGGGCGATGCCGTACAGGCGGAGGATGTGCGGGTGCTTGAGCTGCGCGATCGCGTTGACGTCGGCGACGAACGTCTGGATCTTGGCGTCGCCGACCTCTTGCGCGTGCACGCGCTTCATGACGACCTCGCGGCCTTTGAACCGGCCGATCCACATGGAGCACTTGGCCGAGATGGGCAAAATCACCTTGATGTCTTTTGGCTGCAGAATCGGGAGTTTGTGCACCGTGTGGGCCTTGAGCGTCATGCCCCGGCTCGTCAAATGGAGGTGGCCCAGCGCACCGGCGTCCGGCGACGTCTGCGACTCATCGGTCGTCGTGCCTGGCGACGACATGAGCGACTTGGTCGAGCCAAACCCCCGAAACGACTCGGAGATGAGCTGGAACGGGCCGCGCGTCGACCCGAGGTTCCGGTCGGACGCCAAGTAGACGGGTTGGGCCATGATCGGCGTGTCGTCCGAGGGTCGCGTCGCGACAGCGGCACGGTACCGGCGCCGAATGCAATAAAAGACGACCAAGAGCGCGGTAATGACCACCACGAGAATGATGACGAGGAGGGCGACGGACCCGCCGCTGCTGCGGCTGCCGGCCTCGTCGCTCGACAAGAGCTGTACGACGGTAGCCGCCATCGAGTCGCTGCACAACGGCGCAGTGGTGCAACTCCTGCACGCCAACGATGGACTGTCCATGACGCCGGACGTCATCGCCGCGTCCAGACCGTAGCACTGGATCGTCGTCACGGGAAAGGACGTGGCGAGGCCAAACTGATTTCGTTGCAATGTCATGGACCTATCAGAAGTACAACATGTTCCGACGAGGTCGACATGATAGTTGGGCGTACTGGAGCTGGGCCGAGGCGGCAAGCAGCCATGCGGCAGGAAAGCTCGGGAGGCTGTTGTCTGTGAGGCTCAAAACACGGACCAACGGCGGCAGCGCCGTGAGTGTCGTGAGGTTGCAAGCAGCAACGGATCTACAGCGGCGCGCGTGACGAATCCAGCAGGCAAGAGCATGGACGTACAGATTGCGCAGTGCGGCGACAGGCCATTGCTCGAGGGCCACGGCGACGTCTCGGAGGGCTCTATGCCGGGATGAGTCGTCATCGATGGAATGGCGGCTTCGTACAAGGCTTCAAGAGATGCAAACGGTCCCCAGCGTTGCATGTCGATGGTCGGCTTGGAGGCGGCTGCACCAGTGATCGAGCCGCGGATGACGGCTCCGTGCGCGAACGTAGCGCAGGCGCGGGTACCATCAGGAAGGGCGCAGCACCACGTCGCACTGTCCTGGGCGTCCATGGGGCGGCCGACGCAGAGGTCAGACCAGCGGCGCCAGTCGGCAGTCGTCATCGTCGTTCCTGGCGTGCTACCGGTAGTGGTTCCAGCTTGGCGCAGAACGCATGCAGCCCGCTGGGCCGAACCGTACGCACGGTCGCATCGCATGTCGCAGACTTCTGACAAAAGCGCTGCGTCTGATTGGCCTGTGCAGTGGCACGCGAGGCCATTGGTCAAAAGTCTATCGTCATTGGCACAAGATACGGTTAACAGTTGTAAATAGGCTAAATGCTGCAACTTAGCCAAAGTTCTTGGAGAGGAGGAGCAGCTCGCGGCGCAGCTCTTCGGCGACCGAGACGGCCAGCGGCCGCTTGAGCACGTCGCGCTGGAGGCAGGAGAGCATGAGCGACCGGAACGGCTTGGGACACGACTCGAACTCGACGTCGTCGCTAAACGGGTGCTCGTGGCTCTTGGCGTCGCGGTCGAGGATCGCCACGTCCGCGCGTACGTAGCCGAGCGTGTTGACATAGCGCTGGAACGGGCGCGTGCGCGTGACAATCTCGCCCATGACGACGCCGAGCGAATAGACGTCAGCCGTGCCACCTCGCGGGCAGTCGTGCATCAAGACCTACCATGTACCGTAAGTACCGTACAGCTTCAGCACATCATTGAAGTTCCTACCTCGGGCGCTTCCCAAGCGATCGTGCCGTCGCCATAGACGCGGTGCACGGTCTCGTGCTGCTGGAAGTGGCGCATGTACTCGAAAATGTTGAGCTTGCACGTGAGCTGCGTGTTGACGAGGACGCTTCGGCTCGTCAAGCACTCGGTGCGCGCAAACTCGGCCTGGCTGTGCACGTACGCGAGACCTGACGCGACCTGGAAGCACATGCGCAGCGTGTCGGGCCACGCGATCTCGACGTCTGCGTTCATGAGGATGTGCGGGAGCGACCCGCAGTGCATAAACTCGGCGACCGCGCCGACCTCGTAGTCGCCGAGGCGGACAATGCCGTGGAGCGATACGAGCTGCGGGTGCACGAGCTGCGCGAGCTGGTTGACGTCCGAGACGAACGCCGCGACGTCCTCTTCCGAGACGATGCGGGCGTCAACGCGGCGCACGACGACGTTCTCGCCCTTGTACTGCCCGGCAAAAATGGTCGGACCCATCGCCTTGAGGATCCGGCACTCACCCGGCTGCAGAATCGGGACCTTGTCGACGTGGTGTGTGATGGGCATGCGCGATGAGCGCATGGACGCCATCACTTTGAGATCGCGCTCGCTGCTCAAGTGCGACGAGAGCGAGTCGACGTGCTTGAGCGACCGGGGCGCGCCCGTGAGCAAGAGCGGGCGTGTGAACGCATGGCCCGACTGCGGCGAGAAGATCGTACCCGAGACAATCGTGGGACCGCCGGGGAGGTGCGACCGCAGCCGCTTGCGCCGGCGGTACAAGAAGAGCGCCGCCGCCGCCAAAAGCACGACAACGACGAGCATCGACGAGATGATCACCGTGCCAGAGTCGCCGCCCGAATCGCCGCCTGTCTTGGCGGTGGTTGAAGGAACACTGGGTGGTGGTGACGTGCCGGCTTCGGTCGGGCGATTCGGGCTCGTGCCGTTGGTTTGTGATGGCAGCGGTCGCAATGGTGCTGTGGTCACGGGTGCTGTGGTTGGCGTCGTCGTTGTCGTCGGCGCGACGGTGGTCGGCGGCGACGTCGTGGGTACCGGCAGCGCGCACGTGGCATTGGCGCCACCACAATTACACGAGAGCTTCTGCCCCGTGAGGTGCCCTGCGTCGATGGCTTTCTGAAGACTTGTGCACTCGTCGCCACTGAGCGCAAAGGTTGCGGGGAAATTGTTGCCGCCCACATCGAGTTGCCTACAGATAGTAAGACGACCGAGTACGACGTCGACAGTGTACTGGATCGACGCGTAGTTGCTGCGGAAGAGAAAGGCCGGGAACGTCGAGAGCGCATTTCCGTGGAGGTCCAGGACATTCAGCGACGCGATCGGAGGCGTCTCGATCGCGCTCAGGTCGGCATCAATGACGCTCCTACGCCATTGTGCTTGAAAAATGAAGGACTCGGACAGGCAACCTACAGTTTTCGCATCACATCGTATTTGAACGTCGTGGGCGTGATCGGGTCGGCTATCGAGACGCCGGCTATGTCTCTATTCGACATCGAATGAGCTTTGTTTGAGGAGCCGTCGTCGTACAGCCACGAGATGTGTTGGTAGCTGCTCCAGTGGTTGGCGAGGCGCGTCGTGGGCTTGGTGCTGGACCGTGCTGGGTCATAAAAGAGGTTGATCCGATTGGCGTTGAAGTTACTGTCGTAGTAGAGGCACTGCCGGACAGCGCTCGTGCTCGTCTCAAAGCAGCACGCCGAGCCCGCAGCTTCGTCATACCCAATGTCTGAAAACTGCCCGCAATGGGCGAGGAAGAGCCGGACGTCGTCGGTGACGCAGTCATTCTTGCCCTTCTCGCTGCACTCGAGGAAGGCTTTTTTGATCGGCTCGGGCGCCATCGTGCGATCGCGTCGATAGACTGTTCTAATATCCAGGAATGACGACCGTGTGCCGGACACGCTCGGAACTGGCTGACGTCCCACCCTCGACGTCAATGGGTGGATTCGAGGCGTCGCGTCCATCTGCGTTCAAGCATCGTTCTTGGGAAGCGACAAGGCCAATGGGACCGCTGCACGCCGCGCCGCTTCAACGATATCGTGCTCACATTGCCTTTGGGCGCAGCCTTTGTACCGCGTTTAGCCAATCCGACGCACGCAAATCGACAGAGTAGCCAATCAGATGCTACACGCGGGTGCTGGAAAGGCGACTTGGATTTGCAACAGCCTTGGGTACTTGTGCTGCTGAGGGCAGCGAGCATCGATCGACGTCGCCATCGAAAGATCGGTCGGCTGCGGTTGGCGAAGGAGCGGTACTAGTATGTCTTCATCGTCGCTCTCCGCTCGCGATTTTACATGTACTTGGTTGTCGGCATGATGGAACGTGCGCTTGTCGTTGCGCGCAACGGCGGGCGTGACGCGGCCCGCCGTGTGAGATCGGGCCAAGGACATCCAGCGCGGCGTGTCGTTTCCAATTCGACGCACATCAAGTGGGTTCAAGAATTGGAGGCTTCTGCATGATCAGGCGAGGCGACCGCGCAGCTTCTCGGCATCTTCGTCGCCTTTCTGGTGTCGGCCATGCACGCTTTCTCCACGTTCGATCGTCGTTGCCGCCAAAATTGTGCTCTACAACCCGCGACACTATCGCCTGCGCGCATGGTTTCCGAGCGCACCGACGACACGCCCAGCGACGACCAGCACAGACCACCATCACCACCAGAAGCTACCTTGACGCCGCCAACACGCGCGCACGGCCCTACAACATCAAGGACATCAATGGCTCTATCATCGCGCGGATGTTCATAAGTATATCATCCCTGGCGCGAGTCCAATCCCGCGGGATCTTCTTCGGCCAGAGTCTGGCGTCAAGACGACGTTGATTGGGATCGGCTATGAAAACCAAAGTCGGCATCGTTCCCCAATTCGACTGTCGGTTATGTAAAATAGTCCACTCAGCCGGTGCAACGCCTCATTCGATCCCCATGGCCACGTACGACGGCTTCGCCTTTGGCGGCCATGTTCCGGTGGTCGCCGCCGTCGCCTTGCCATGCTCATGCGACTCTGGTTGCAACAATAGGCGCCGACGCCGACGGAGCTCTACTGCAATGACTGCCAGATGCACGTCCACGCTGTGGCCGACGGTACCCATTGACGGAGGCACAGACGGTCATCATCGTGCCATGGCAGGCGACCACCGCTGCGATGTATGTGGCGCAACGCTCCTGCGCCAAGCCACAGGAGGTGCCGCGGCCTCTGCGCTCGGCGACATCTCGGTGCTCATGAACCGCCTCCTCGAAGCATGGGGCATCGACCCGACAGCCGCGGGCGCAAACCAGCCTGCGACCGAGGAAGCGGGTGCGTCCATTTCTACGTGGGCCATAGGCACTACGACATGGCTCTCTGTAGTGGCCAAGCTCAGCACGTTTGCAGCGGGGCAAGCAGCGACAGCCGAGGTTGGCATGGTCGTCGACGGGATCAAAGGCGAGGTTGCACCCCTTCCGTCGTCTATTTGATACGATCCATTGCTGCTAGGTCATCTTGGTTCCCGCCAACTTTGGTCCGTGCATCTCCTTGCCGTCGTCGAGCCTTGTCGTCGCATCGCCCATCAACGGCGCGTCGTCCTTGACCTGCGACGTCCACGGCAAGGTCGCGTGTCCAAACTCGCGCCTAGCGTTGCCACGTCATGTGTAGATTGTACTTATGGAGCGGGGTACGTGTACGTTTGCCAACAAGATCCTTCGCGCGCAGACCGTGGGGGCGGTGGCCGTCATCATCGTGCAGACTGCTGACGTCTGGCCGTACACAATGACCGACTCGTCCGGCGAAGGCGCGGACATTACGATTCCGGCCTTTATGATCAGCGCCAAGCAAGGCAAAGGGTACTCTCCCTTCGGTGCACCATGTCGGCCCACACTGCGATGCTTCTAGTCTCGTCGAGTACGTGGCCAGCCATGCGACGACAGCAACGATCGAGGTCCGACTCAACGCGCGCGAGTGCGTCATTTGCCAAGTCGAAGTCACCAACGGCAGTCAAGTGAGCCGCATGCCGTGTCAGGTACTAGTACTGCGATCGACTTGCAGCGACTGAGCGATGCTTTGTTAGCACATGTTTCACACCGACTGCCTCGCGCAGTGGCTGCAGATCCGCAACAGCTGTCCGATTTGCCGCGTCGAGATTGCGTCCAAGAACGGCCGGGCCAAGACTGACGCGGACCGGGACTTTCTGTGGAGCGACTGGATGTCCTAAGGCACCGAGATGCATTGAACGGCCTCTTAAACGAGCTTCTTCTTGTGAAAGTACGTTTGCAAGTGGTGCACCTGCCACACGCCGGTAATGACCAAAATGACAATCTACCAAGCTCGTCAAGCAAGGACAGCATGAACGGAAGTTGGATGTACCTGGATGACCGAGACCCACATGGCCCGCGCATTGTTGCTCTCGCTCGTCGAGCGAAACTTCTCGTCCTTCTCCTATGCGGTCGTGTCGTTCGAGGATGCAAGGCTAGCGAAGGCGTGTACCTGCGCGTAGTCTTGCTGCTTTTGAATCGCACGGACGCGGTCGCGAAGCTTCATGACCTCGAGCTCGAGCTCGTTCATTTGCTCGCGCTTGGCCAAGTTGGCGTACTCTTCGTTGCTCGTGCCAAACTTGAGCTTGAGCGAGAAGCGCTGGAGCAATCAGGCATGAAAAGAAGCGTCGAGAAATATGGCAACGGTACCATCTTGGTCGTGGCCGGCACGACGTACTTGTTGGTGTCGATGCTCACGCACGTCCAGTGGCCACCAGGCAGCGTCGATGTGAACGCGATCGAGCCCTTTGAGCCGAGCGTGTGTGTCACGGAGGGCACTTGGTTGGGCTCGTCGTCGCCGGTCGGCGATGGCCCATAGATCTTGATCTCGGTTTTCTACAGCAGACGCAATCTGAGCGTTGCAAGCGCGTGCAAGAAACTACGAGCTGGTCGGTCGAGTCGGGCGACTCGTACTCGGCGCGGAACGTCGTCGCGTCCGGGATGTCGAGGAAGAAGCACCGGTGTTCCTACGCCCGCCACGTTCATCATTAAGGACCGTCGCCAGAGCAGCCATCGCACCTCGGGCGTCACGAAGAAGCGGGAGCCATGCGCCGACGCGACGAGGGCGGCGACGAGCACGACGAGCTGGCGAAGCATGCTGGTCGGGAAATACGCACTGCGCCCGGATTGGCTAAAATGCTGCGATTTTCGCGGATCCTGGGGCCAACAGCTGGCGTGCAGACTTCGTGCTCTCGACATGCAACAGAGTTGGTTTGAGTCGACGGAAACAGTCCGATTGCCATTTTCAACCGATTCGAGTAGCGTAGAATCGTTCTATCTGACGTTCGCGGCGAAGCAACCCTACCCCGAGCTTGACATATACCAGTGTGCATAATGAATAATAACGTCGTCCACGAGACTTTTGGCGAGAATATTGCGCAGCGACCTGTTCTGCGAGGCGGCACGCGTCAACGAGAGGGTATCTGCGATCTGACGATACGCATAACGCTGGGGTCTTGAACGTACACGCGCAAAAGGTGATTGGTTTCGATTCCAAACGGACACGACGGGAGGGCATCGGCCATTTGGGCCGACATGCTGTCCCGCAGATTAGTGAGCTCTTGCAGAAACTTGCCAACGCTGCCACCCTAGAGGCTGTAGCGCTCGTCGAATGTCGTCAAGAGCGCCAACTCTGTCGCGACAACCACGAGCGCCTCCTTGGCCCATGCCGGAACGACCAAGGTATGCTCGATTCTGCTGGATATTCATCCTCGACCCGATACCACCCCGACGCCAGCTCCCGACGCCGCCAGCAAGGCGCACGTGCAACATACTTACCCCATGTCGCGCCGCGTGCCATGTCACCTTGAGTGTATCCGTCGGCGGCCCAAATCAACTTGTCCTTCTTGCACGTGACACGAAATTGACTCTCGAGCGCGGGAAGATCGTCACGCGCGCACCGCGTGTGTTTGATGACGTGGCAGCCGGAGAAGCGCACCGCAGCGTCATATACCGACCCATTCTTCGTCGTGGCGCGCAAGAGCAAGATGTCGCAGCCACGTAACCGTGGTGAACCGCAACGTACGCGCAAAAGAGGACAAGGACCACCAACTTGCCGACGCCCGCCGAGCCCACGAGCACCATGCTCCAAAGCCGCGCCTCCCGCGAACATCTGGTCCTACGCGCCGAGACGGAGCAAGGTCAGTGGTCCTTTGCATTGCTGTTTGTTCATTTTCCGCTCATTGCACCTTCTTGTAGCGCCTCCTCCCTTGACGTACTTCACCAAACCGATCGAAGAAAGCGTCGTCTTGCTGCAGACGACGTGCCTGACCTCCGCACCATTGGGAGCGGCGAGTACATCGACACCGCCATCCTCTCACGCCTCATCGTTCGCATGGAGATGAAGATGGCGTGGGATCTCATGCTGGCCAACAACTTTGGCGACGTCAACACGGGCGACGGCACAGCTGGGATGGCGCTCTGCGACTGTTGACCATACGCCCGCCGTCACCAGGAAGCACCGAGGGAAGTCAAATCGTCGCGCGCCGCACTTGCAACCTCGAGAGATTCCATCGGGCAGAAAGACATTCGACAGAGGATCGTCGTGTACGATGGCGCCTGGTTATATGGCTTCCGGTGCTATGGGTGAAAACGACTGCTTCTGCGCCTTCTCCCAAGATTGAAAATGACGATCTTGAAGCCGTTGACGGCCTGTCCAAATTGGCCTCAATGACGACTTCGCACGATGCGGCACGGGTCGCCCCAAACGAAATAGATCAGCAACATTGCACAGATTGCTATTCTTTACTACAGTACTATTGCGCTCTTCTGTGTACGCTTGTCTTGAAGGTGTTTGGCAACCTTCCATCGCCGAGCTTGCTGTGATGAATCACAAGGTGTGGGAAAATGTTGTACGCTCGATTTGATTGGTCATAAATAAAATCATATAGCCTTTTCATTGGTACTCGTCTGGTCATTTTCGTCGTGTGGATGCTTTTGTCCAATATGGACGCGGCAGCCAAGTTTCGTATGGATGCGATGGCTTGAAGTTCGTATTGGGATTTTAGCCAATCACAGGCGCGACGAGGATGTCTACGCTAACATTGGGATTTCTTCGAGCGACCATGGCCGCGCTCTGGTGCAGCTCCTTCTCCAAGCTCGACGCGCGTCAGTCGCGCCGCCCGTCGCGCGTCTGCCGCCTGCGCCTCTGCGCGCTCGACGACTATGTGGAGGAAGCGCCATCATCCGCCGAGGTCAACGCGGTCCTCTTCGTCTGCATGGGCACGCTGCGCCGGCTCGGTATCATCTCGGACGCGCTGGTCGTCGTATCGGCGCCCGACGACGACCGGCGCCATATCGCCCGCGCTTGCTTGCTCCGCGACGTCCCCGCCGATGGCGTGTGCTTGAGCCCAACGCTCGCCTACAACGTCGGGCTGCGCACGGCAACAGGATCCCTGGACGTCCGGCCCATCCAGAGCGCCGACATTGGTCTCGCTGGCCACATGAGCTTTGCAGCATGGGCGCTACCTCCGGCCGCGTCGCGTGTCGAGATTGCGCCGCTGCTTCTACCGTCGTTGGCGGTCGCGGCGCCGCACCAGGAGCAGCTACTGCGAGCGCTTCGCGATCACTTTAGCACCCCTCGGCTCCTCCAGGAAGGCGACGTCTTTGGCCTCCCCGTGTTTACGGACGTCCTCGACGGACGGCGAGATGGTGCACCAGCGACAATCGATATTCCTGTCGGCGCCTTCCACGACGATCCGTCGGCGACGGCAACCGTCGCTGTGCCCGAGGCGCTGCAGATACCGGCCGACGTGGTGTTTTTCACGGTCGTAAGCGTCCTGGCGACGACGCCTGCGATTGCGTACTCGGTGTCTAGAGAGAGTACGACGCTCGTGCAAGTGGCACCACGGACACTTCGGCTACCGGAAGAAGGCGCGATGCGTCGGTACTTGTCACGTCCGTCGGGGCCCTCAGCGCCGACAGCATCGACAAATTCGCACCTTGTAGAGCTCTTGCACCCGACCGACGTCGGTATTCCCATGTCCGTCTTGCTCAGCGGTCCCGCCGGCATTGGCAAAAAGACGCTTCTGTACGACGCCGCGTCCACGCTGGGCCTCTATGTGCTCGAGGTGAACTTCACCGACCTCACGAGCACGTCCCAGACGCAAATGCTGGAAAACCTCCGAGACATTGGCGCCAAAGCCAAGGCGCTCTCGCCCTGTGTGCTGTTTCTGAACCGGTTCTTCGCCTTTGAGGTACTACGCGCACGGCCCTTATCGCAGTCGCCAAATGTGGTGATTTCTTGTAGAAAGATGACGAAGAAGCGTCACTGCGACTCGGCAGTGCCATCATGGAGTGCCTGGACGCGATGGACGTGCCGCTTGTCGCGACGGTCGAAGATGCGAGCGAGCTTCCCGCACTCGTGCGTCAGTGCTTTTTGTACGAGCTGGCGCTGGAGGCACCTACCGAGGCCGAGCGCCTCGCGATGCTCGAGCAGCTCACGGCGACGACCGTCTTGGCCGCCGTACGACACTGTATGGATTCGTGACTGCTGATTTATGGATCTGCTATGCGTAGGATGTGGACCTCGCAGCAGTCGCGCACCAAAGCGCTGGCCGCACGTTTGGCGAGCTCCGTGCCTTGGTATGGTCCATACGTGTCCATGTATCCATAGGAAATCTGTGCTGCTAGTTGGCCGATGCCACGTGCCACCGCCTCGCGCAAGTTTCCGAGCTCGCGACGATCGACGAGGATGCGATGATCGAGAGCCTCTCGGCGCTGGCCCTGCACATGGCCGACTTGGAGCACGCGCTCAAGCACCAAGCGACCAAGTCGTCCCTCGGTCTAGGCTCGGCCACGATTCCTAACGTCAAGTGGGAAGACGTCGGTGGCCTTGACCACGTCAAGGACGAAATCCTCGACATGGTATGGACTTCTCCGCTTTGTATGGCGGATATGGATGTCACGATTGTGCATCGGTAGGTCCAATTGCCGCTCAAGCACCCCGAGCTCTTTGCGTCTGGCGTCCGACAACGCTCGGGCATTTTGCTTTACGGTATGGGCCATTATCGTCCATATTTCACGCGGCGCATGGATGCTCATGTCCATACGCAGGTCCGCCGGGCACGGGCAAGACGCTGCTGGCCAAGGCGATTGCAACCGAGTGCAGCATGAACTTTATCAGCGTCAAGGGCCCTGAGCTCCTCAACATGTACATTGGTGAAAGTGAAAAGAACGTTCGGCACGTGTTCCAGATGGTATCGATAGCATTGATTTATCGCAATTGGAATGATACACTTGTCTATGTTAGGCTCGGAATGCGCGTCCGTGTATTCTCTTCTTTGACGAACTCGACTCGCTCGCGCCGATGCGCGGCCGCGGCAGTGACTCGGGCGGCGTCATGGACCGCGTCGTGTCGCAGCTTCTCACGGAGATCGACAGCAACCTCGACCAAGTGTTTGTCGTCGGCGCCACGAACCGTCCGGACCTCATCGAGTCTGCGCTCCTTCGCCCGGGCCGGTACGTTTCAACCTCGCTATGTGCAAATCCCTGTATGCCTACATGCCGCTTCTAGGTTTGATCGACTGCTGTACCTCGGTATCTGCAGCGACAAGAACGCCCAGCTCAAGGTCGTCGAGGCCCTCACGCGCAAGTTTCGCCTCGCGCGCGACGTGCACTTGCCGACGGTACGCGTGTCGACGCCAGATACGGAGGATGACGTAAGCGCGTCGTAGGTCCTCTCGGCGTGTCCGCTGCACTTTACAGGCGCCGACTTTTACGCGCTCTGCTCGATTGCGCTGGCCAATGCGATCAAAGACCGCGTCCGCGCCATTGACGCGCACATTCGTACGTCGTTTGGCACTGTTGTTGCTGACTGACCCAACGTTGCTGCGCAGAAACGACCAACCAAGCCGATTGCTACTCGGCGCGGCCGCTCAACCCGGCGATGGTGCTCGACAAGATGACGCCGGACGAGCTCCAAGTCGAGGTGTCAGCGACGCACTTTGAGCGCGCGCTTGCTGCTGTCGTGCCGTCGGTCTCGGCCTCGGAACTCGCCCATTACGAAAAGCTCCGAAAGCAGTTTAGCTCGCTCGACGTAGCGTCTTCCTAAGTTGTCATTGGTTGTTTGCGAATATAGTCGACTTTGGTCTGTCTCGGAGCACGACTCATGCAACGCCGCGACGATCCTTGTACACGAGATCCCCTATGCTCCGGAACCACAACAAGCCA